GGTAAATAAGATTAATTAACTAGTATAATTTGTCAACGACTTAGGATGTGAATGTTTAAAGTGACATGGATGTCGCGTTGAACAAGGTAATGTTGTTAGCACGAATTTTATTTTTTACATACAAAGTTGTCACTGCTTTTATGCATTCTGTGTATCTAAAGCATGTATAACTTGATTTGTCTAGCTTATTTGTGCACAGTCGCGCTTGGACATAATATGTCACCATGGATTATTAGCGAAATTGAATTATATTTACACTTTAACGCTATTCCGCGTCCGCTTTATCAGATCATCGAAATTAATTCTGTTTATTTGGTTCCGTTTATCAAAAACTCTATTTACTGTATGTTTTTTAATGAATAGCAGTTTTGCATTGTTATATTGTTATTTTGAGAAATTGACATAAAACAGCGATTTGAGTAGGAACAAGGATTTAGGATTAGTCGTTGACAAATATCTCTTGTATAACGATAAGTTTACAGACCATTACTTAATAAAATAATATGAGATATTATATTGTCAAGATTATGAACTTGAATTATAGGGCTTATAAATTGATAGTATATACTACTAATCCAAAACTTAACCAATAATATTCATTTTAGACAACTAACAGTAAGAGGAGTTTAAATGAATTAACACTTTTGTTGTCTCATCTGTCACCATATGGGTCTCACTTCGTTAAAGGTTCTAACCTTCCTAATAAACAACCCGAATACAAACTAATTCAAGGAGTAATAATAACCTTAGCCGACCACACTAATCGTATAAATAACTACACAATTACGACGCTCGCAGATACAAGAATTAAGATGACAAAACAGGGAATTTTATTAAAGATTGTAAAAGAAAAACGATTGGAATTTTCTTTATTGTAAATCGAATTCTTTATTGAACGTTATGTTTATGTACTTTTTTTTAAATGCAATATATTTACAAATAATATGGCTAAAGCTGTATAAACCTCAAAGTCCCATCCATTGATGAAAATAAAGAATGATGGGCCTTAAAAGACCCTTCTAACTGAACTGATTTTCATTTTTAAGCCTTTAAGTAATCTAGCTAATAATTAAATTGTTATATAATTATTAGTATACAAAGTTACGAACTTGAATTACAAATTTTAGTTCTGTAGTCTAAATGATCAAAATCCAGGGTCTCTATGAATCTATGTAGTTTTTTTTTAATTTCCACCTATTATAAAGGATGGATTTTACTCAAAATTTTCTTTCTTGCGACACAGATCTCTGTTATACAAATACAAATATACTCAAATTATTATTCAACACATTATGGTAAATTTTAAATACAAAGATCAATAACAATTTCATCACTAAATAACCTTATGTTATATAAATTTGATTATGCTTAATAGTTTGGAATAGCAGGATGTTTTTAATATTATTTATTACGTGGAAAGGTAACAAATTTAACGGAAGTATTCTAATTGTGATGAAAAAAAAAACACATTAATAACTGAAATTCTTCATGAGCAAGCTTTCATGTATGTTAACATAAATTTTCTGCAGATGTACGACCTCAGCTATGATGAATGATTCTATTAGTATGACCAGTCGAAATTTTATAGTAATTTTTTATGCTCTCCATCCCATAAATATTGTAAAATCACATTAAAATTCGAAATTCGCTGGTATTGTACTACTAGTACTTGTTGTATCATAACTCTTGTAAACTATTCTGACCTTTTAGATTTATATATTACAATGATAAAAAGATGTTATTAGTGTAGTGAAATTTCTTATTTTACTGGTTTAGCTTACCAAATTCGTACAAACACCTATTTATGCATCAAGAAGGTATCATGAATATTTTGACTTATCATTAGAAAGCATATTTAGACGGCTCCTTCTTGAGGTATATAGGTATTTGTAAGAAATTGACTGAAAGATTTTTTAATAACAGAAGTTAGAATTGATTAAAAATTTATTAGCATAAATCTAACCTTAGAATTATGGCGGAACCAATATCATGTAACAATTCATCTATCTGATCTATTACATATTTAATATTTATTTAATTAACAATATCTAAATATACAATTTTAATTTATTATTTTATAAAGGGTACTTTACCTTTGTTATTACTTTTTCTTTTCCTACCTACCATAGCAACATTTTTTGTGCTAGGTATTCTTAACCAATCATATTCAACAATAAATCCACATTTATCAATTATTTCGTGAATATATTCTTGATATGCTTTATACTTTCCATTAGAAATTATCTGTTTTTCAAAAGTATATTTTGTTCCGGAAAGTGCGTAAAAACAACATGGAATTACCATAAAACTAATAATAATTTAGCATTCTACTAATATTAAATAAAATAATTATATCTGCATCATAAAAACGTACTTTGTATTATTTGAAGACCTTGCGGCTATTATTGGTATCCTAAATATATTAGAAGATATTAGAAGATTAAATTAAATATTTAAAAAACAAACAATAAATCGGAATTAATTTACAAATTTACCAAGGAACAAGTTCATCAGCATGGTTTCCAATTATCCAATCTGCATCTGGATAAATTACAACGTTTGGTTGCAATGTTTCGGCTAAATAAATTATATCAAAAATTTTTTAGAAATTTTCGAAATAAAGAATTTTAATATTGTTCTGTACCTATTAATTTAGATCCCTTATCTTGAAATGCATCCCAGATTTTTCTTTTTCTTACGTCAATGCCTACTCCCTCATGTCCCTCAGATGCAAGCAAAAATGTCAATAAACCATTTCCACATCCTAAATCAACAAATGACTGTAGCCTACACACAATATTATCTCATATATTAAAATTTATACTAAATTAAGCGGTATAACATTTAATAAAGTTTTTAAAATACCTTGTTTGAGATTTTTCCTCTCTTTCTAATTTCCATAATGAAATTAACCAACTTGCAATTGCAATATCCTCAAATACAAATTTTGCTGGGTCTGTTTTCTCTGTCCAATTTCTATTAAATATAAATTTCCAAGTTTGTATAGAAATATATATTTACGTATTTGTATAAAAATAATTTACCTGACTAATTCTTTGGCATATTTTTCTTTTAAATATTTGTATGTTTGCATGTATAAATCTTTCGGTATCAGTAAATCATGGTGAACTCGTTTTTGGTAACCAATAGATGTGTTATGACACCATTTGAACAGTTTTTTAAATAATTGTGTGTATGCGTATTTCTAAGATAATTAATAAAAATTAATAAGAATATGTTTGTAGGAAAGTGTGTGGATCGTGATGCGGATACTATTTTAGATACTGCAAGACGTTCGTGACCTATCGATCAAAATCGAACAATTTGTTCTCTCAATGAGACAAGTCGAATGATAAAAATATCTTCATTTAAATAGAAAATTAATTTTTTTTGTTAAAGAAAATTGCAATATATTTAAACGAATGTTTGCATTAATCAAATTGACATTAATGATTAAGAATTAATAAAAGTTCAAGTTATATGCTATTGTGAAACATCCTGTTATACAATCTTTTGTAAAAAGTAAATCGATATGTCATGAGATATCATAATTCGTTCATGAAAAATAATAAAATATGAATTACTTAACCATTTTGTCCGAGATATCAAGTATATTGCTAGATGCTAAAGGAACAATTTCAATATACAACCAAGATTGACAATCATTATCATTTAAATCATTGTAATCGGCCATATCTGTATTGTAGGCTCTCTTATATTCTGCATAAACATAGCTAAGACATGATACCTATTGTATAAAATAAATATTTTATAAAATTTGAGTGTTTGAATGAATCTTAGTTAACGGCCAATATATATTACTTAAAATATTCTTTTTCTTTCACCTTTGGATAATAAAACGGAATATTAACCTCTGCAGGTTCTTGTGAACTTTTTATAATCGGCGAGTAAATAACACGACTTTCTAACAACAAAAGCTAATTAAATTATTATCGTACAACTGAAAAATAATGATATATACCATCACCGTTCTCATAATATTCTA